ATATGCAATTATAATGTCTTCTTGAAATAACAATCAAAAAACACAAATTACGATAACTTTATAATGACAACGATCTTCTAAATCACTTTAAAACGGCCCATGTCTACTATGATGTTATTAAAATTTATGTTTATTAAAAACAATTTTTTTAACATCAACATTTATAATTAATTTTAAGTAATAAAAACAAGAATATTGTTAAAAATAATATTATTCATTGTCCTTTATATTTTTTATATAATGAACACTATTTGATGATAAAAAATACTATTACTCGTTGCTTAAAATTATTCTTAAAAGTTAAAGTTATTTTTTTTTTATAAAAAATCATAATGCAGCTATTTTTGGTAGTATTGCTTATAATGGTGTTTGAAAAAAAATTATTATTGAATGATCTTTAATATAAATAATATATTTTTATATTTCTTAAAGTATTATCCTTTGAAAAATGTAAAACAAAACCCTTCCAAATAAGCACTAGTAGATAATCTCATTATTTCTTAAAAAGATACCTTTTCAACATTTAAACATTTATCTCCCCGGAATAAATTAAATGAAAGCATTTTTATATAAAAATAAATAAAAATATATTTTTATCATTAAATTTTATTATAAATAGTTATAATTAAAACACATAATTATAAACTTTAAATTTATCATTTACATATAAAAAAATTATCAGTATTAAACACATCTTTTATTCCATCGACTCCTAATTAAAAACAAAATTCACTTCCTAGTGCCTCTCTTATTGTTTAGCACTACATAACGTCATTAATATTATATTTGTGAGTGACTCTTTTGGAAAACACCTTCACTACATAAATCTAAACACATTTTGAAATTCAAGTTAATTAAATCTAAACGAAGCTGTATTTTTTATTTGAAATTCAATGATTGATTGTACTTTTTCGAAATAGTGATCATTGTATTGAATTTAAATCGTCTAAACTAGATAACATTAGTTTATAAGGTCATATCTTATTATATTTGATGAAATTTAGTTTGTTAATGTTTTTATTTGTTTAAAGTTTATTTAAAACGTACAATAAGAATTTATATTCATTTTTTATTTAAAATATACTTTTTTTGTTATCAATGAATTGAACTTTCAATATATTATATTTTTAATAAATAATTATTATAAATAGATTTTTAATAAATAATTATTATCTAAACACCTAGTACGATGGAAAAAATTTGTTTTTAAAAAATATTGTATTTAAAGATACACCTCAAAAATCCTTTCACTTAATTAATAATATTTTTAAAAATATTTTCGTTCAAGAATCATATAAAGGACAATCACTTGTTAATAATTTTTGAAGGAGAGTATATTTTTAAAAACATTATTATTTATAAAATATGTGTAAGAGTTAATTTTTTAAAATGTTCTTATTTAATAATTAATATTTACAATTTATATATAGATAGATAATTTTTATAAATCTCAAAAACAATAAATATTATAATTATTAATAATAAATATTTTATTATATTAAATAAAAATAAAATTTTAAATAAAAAATATTTAACTTAAAAAATATGCTTGTAACAATGAAAAGTATAACTAATGTCAAAAAATGTCATTTGAAAAGAAATTATTTAAAAATTAGTATTTACGAATTATATACAGAGGTTGATTAGTGAAATAGCTAATTAAAAAAATATTTTAAGTATACGTTTTAATTAATTATTAAATAATTAATAATTTTTAGTTATATTATAATTTACAGCTAAATATAACATAAAATGAGTGTATAATTTTTTTAAAAAATCTTCACGGTTAGATTCTTTTAGTTGATTTGATAATTTAATGACTGATACAAAACTTGCACTTTAATGTTAATTTCTTTGTATTGTATTTTTTTTTTCTATTCACCCAAAGAGGGGGGGGGGGGGGGAGATATCCACGTTTTATAGAAATAAGTTATATATATATATATATATATATATATATATATATATATATAATTTTAATTTTAGAAGTAAAATTACTAATCTAGCCTAAGAATAATAATCATTAATGTTTTAAGACGTAATTTTATTTCCAAAAACATAAAAAGGAGGAGACATGCGATGTATTTTATGATTTTTTTAGTCAAAAATATATTACAGAATTTGTACAATGAAATAATGATCTATGCATTATCCTATAAGTATAAGATAGAAGTGACAATCTTTTTCTAATGAGAAAAAAATATATTTAGTTATTAATTGAAATATTAAAAATCATACAAATTATATTATTTTGATTTACTCTCACTCTGAATTTAACTTTTTGTAATCTTTTGTCCATAACTAAAAATATATTAGAAACTAAATTTTACACACTCTTCTTTTTTAATTATTTGATAAGTACAGAATAGAATCTTTACATAATAGGTGAAGGAGAATAGTAGGGTAGGGTTTTCGGTGGTCTTTTTTATGTTGCAAAAACAAATTTCTTAATTCGGTGTGTTTATATATATTGGATGATCACCGACATGCAAGTACTGGAAATATAAGCCTCAAAAGTAAAGAAATAAGAGGAATACTGCGATTGCACAAAAACTGACAACAATTAGAATCGACAAGAAACAATTTGGCTGCAAATGGCCATCTTTTTCATTTTAATTTGTTGTTTTCTTCATCGTCTTAATTCTTTAATTAGCCTCTGTGAAGCCAGTGCAGCGCAATGGAAAGTATATTTCAAATGGGGTACAAGCGTCACATTAATAGATTCATAAGCCCAAGGAAACTGGATTTGGACGGTGCATTTAAGGCCTTGAAATCCAAATCACATTTTTCAGGTCCAATTTTGAAATGGAATACTTGGACTCAATCTATTCAACAAACTTTTCTTCTTGTGTCATAATAGAGAGGGGACAAATTCTATCGTGTGTGTGTGTTTTTGAATGACTTTGGGACATTGCCTTATTGCCAAACAGAGTGGTATTTATCTAAGACTTCGATCACCAAAATCTTTTCAATATGTGAGTGAGAGATCACCAAATTCTAACATGTACGTACACTAGTTAAAAATTTTAGACAGAAAAAATTCCTGTTATTTCTGTATTAAGAACATCCCTTGCACACACTTGGTTATTCCTGATTAATATTTTGACTACTTCGAGGGCACTCGAAAACATGGATATTCTTAGTCGAATTTAACAGTTAATTTGCACTTAATTTCACATTCATATTCGTGCCTCACTTATTGCATGTCTTGAGTCATGCCTTGTTTAGAGCCTCAAACGAGGGCTTCAAAAACATATACATTCCTGTGTTTGGATGCTAATTAATGATTTTCAGAAGCATGCTAAACGAAGTTATATATATATATACATACACACACACTTAAACTTCACTACCAATTTTTTAAAAAATATTTTTTTTTTCATAAATTACTCCAATTCACGTTCATAAAATACGATTGGATATAATGAACTTGGGGACGGCCCATCATGCGGCAACATGTTACAGGGGAAGGAAAATAGGGTTGCTGGCAAAATACCTAATGTATACTTAATAAATAGTTATTTTTATTAAAAAATTATCATTTAATATTAATGATAAATTAAATTTTACAATATTTTTTTAATTTTATTATATGTTCTTAGCACACGTAAAAAAAATGATATTTTTATTAATTAAAATTTTGAAAAATATGTCAAAACATGATTGACGGTAAACATAACTAAATGGTAAACATTTTCATTGTTCAAAACATGTAAATTTGAGCGGTTAAGGGTTTCTCTCTTGAGTAAAATTTTATTAATTAATGAAAAAGCAGGTTATTAAAAGAGCTTTATATATCTCTGGGTATATTTAACAGAGATTAGTTTGAAAACTTACTTTCAGAGATATTGAGATCTCAGGTTAAAAGAAAGCTTACAAATCTAGGTGTTTGTGTTTAATGAAATTGTTAATTATCTAGCAAAAATCTTATTTGGTGGCATGACTGTGAGAGCATTGAAAAGAGAACTGAAACTACAGCAAGACACATGGAAGTTGTGTGCTGCGTACAAGACAATACTAAAATATGATCTTTGATTACGTACTTTGTACCAATTAATTTATTTTGGAAATTGCGTACAGGATGTTCCTTTGTGCGACGGGTATTTATATTCTAATTTGAAAAGTCTTTTTTCAATGGAAACCACACTAAAGAAACTGTTTCTATTACAAAATTCAAAGTGTTGAATTCCTTGATATGGATGTAGATTGAAAAAGACATGCAAAAATAGATAAGAAGGTCGAGCTTCACCTATCACTCATATTTCGATAACTTGCTGGGTTCAAATTTATGCCTCCATCTCTCTTAAAAAAAACAGATTTTACTCCCTTTGCAATTACCTTGCCCTCTTTGATTTATACAATTGTTTGTTCGATAGTTAGCACACCCTTAAAAATTATATTATAAAGAAATTTAGTATCGACCTAATACAAGTTTAATCATTATTAGTCTATAATCAGTATAAGTAATTAGTTTGACATTTTCTTTAGATGGTTACGCCTAATACATAAAATAAGGAAAACAAGTACTCCGATTCTAGAAGAAATATTATCCTTTCGATATGCACAATGGAGCCGTTTGTATGCTTTCCGATTCCCTTCCATCCTCTCCGAAAAGGCTTTCTTCTTCTCTGATTGAGTTTAAAAAACTGATTTATTAATTAAATATATTTAAAAATATTCTAATTTATTTACAAAATACGAATTCCCTGGGACAAGTGGTCCATCACCACTCCAAAAACCTAGACATTCTGGCATGCGAATCATCCCTCGAGGTGTGTTTGGTCGGAAGGGATTGGTGAGTAAATGAGATGGTCATAATTTTATATTTTGAAATGAAGAAAATTATAAAATATTTAGTAAGAATAAAGAAGCATAGATTAAACATGTTATTTTAATTAATTTACACGTAAGAAAATACCTCCATTTAAATAAGAGTTTTATCCTCACTTGAACCCAAATATCCAAATGAAGCTCAGCAAGTGTTTCTGAAACTGAAAGCAAAGTCCATTGGGACTCCCTCAAAACACAATAAAACCAGCGCGACCCAATTCCCTTTCCCTGTCTGTCACCCTCTCTTTTCCTTCGCCACCACAACCAAAAGCGCGTTACGTTGTTGTTGGCGCCCATTTGCTTTTGCGTTTGCGTCGCCTTTTAGTAACAACCTAATCATGAATTATCAGTGAAAAAGAGAACAAACAAAGGAGCAATCAGCGCCGCTATTAATTCCCACTAAAACAATCAAAATTCTTTGCTTTCACACCCAGCAGATGAACTCCACCTGAACCCTAATGACCACTCTCACTCCCAACCCACACTCCAACTTCCACCATGCCCTACTTCTCCTTCTTTATCTCTTCCTTCTCATACACTCTCCGCCGCCGGCCGCCGCACAGCTCCCCAACACGCTGCCGCCACCGCCGCCGGATAGATTTTCCCGGCTTAAGTTCGATAAGTCCATGGCCATCGTGCTCGTCATCCTCGTCGTCGTCTTCTTCATCCTTGGCTTCCTTTCCGTCTACACTCGCCAGTGCACGGAGCGAAGAATGAGAGGGGGGTTCGATCTCGCTATTCCCATCGTTGGAAGCCACCGCCGGCAGCGAGGGCTTGACCGGGAAATCATCGAAACGTTCCCCACTTTTGTCTACTCCACTGTGAAGAGCCTCAAGATTGGGCGCGCCACGCTAGAATGCGCCGTGTGCTTAAACGAGTTCGAAGACGACGAAACGCTGCGTTTGATCCCCAAGTGCAGCCACGTGTTCCACCACGAATGCATCGACGCTTGGTTGAATAACCACTCCACTTGCCCCGTGTGTCGGGCCAACCTCGTTCCAAAACCCGAAGACCCGTCTTCGGTCGCGATCCAGATTCCGGATCACGAAGGATCCGAATCGGATGAAACCCGATCCGAAACCCGAGTCGGTGACGGTAATGTTAACGGAGAAGTAGTGGCGGATTCTCCAAAGGTGAATAATAATTTAGTTAATCAGAACCGTCCACCTCGGTCAAGGTCAACGGGTTTTAGGATCGCGAGTTGGTTTCCACGCTCTCACTCGACCGGTCACTCGCTGGTTCAACCGGGGGAGAATTACGAGCGCTTCACGCTAAGGTTGCCCCAGGAAGTGCGAAACCAGCTCGTGAGCTCCACGCTAAGCCGCACCAAGAGTTGCGGCGTGAGCGTGACCTTCACGCGCGAGAGCAGTGTGAGGAGGGGTTATAGGACAAGAAGCGTTGGCAGCAGCAGCGATCACGCGAGGGGATATGACCGGTTCGGCCGCACGGACCGGCGTGGGTTTTCTTGGACTCCGCCGTTTATGATTAGAACCGGTTCGAACCGGTCGGCGAAGAGTTCGAAGGATGATACGGGTGAACGATCTTCAGATCGGTTATTTAGGGGTGGTGAGGATTAGACGGTTGTTTAAGTTAGGTTTAGATGGGTAAACATCAAAGACCAATGATGATCAGTTTCCCTTTCACTTTCACTTTCACTTTCACTTTTACCATCCACGATTCGTGCTCGTGTATGTAATTAGTATATATTACTCCTCTTATACATATTTATTTGTATGGTTTCAGAGTGTGGAATTTTTTGAGTGATATAGGTCGAACAATTAATACACACGGATTTTGGAAACGTCAATGAATAAATTTGAAATTCTTAAACATTTAGAGCATGTTTAATTATTGTTTTAAAAACAGTTTTCTGTTTTTCAAAATACTGTTAGTGTTATTATCAAATAAAAATTTTAATTTAAATTACTAAATAATATTACAATATGTTTTATGCTATGGCGTTATTTGTGCTCTCTTTTTTCATTAGTTGTTCATGTAATTTCTGTGGGTTAAGTTTTGTTTTAAACTCATGATGTTGTTCGAGCATTCGTAAGGTTAACCGTTTGTTTGCTTCAACCGTCTCTATTTTACACAATAGATATTGTTTTCAAACACCATTCATAAATTTTCTTTGCCTTTTGCTAATCTTTAAATCGATATGTGACCTTAATTTTAAATACTTTTTTATTCAAGCTCCACCGATTTTGCTTTATGAAATCTCCTAATCAGTGTAATGAGGGATTTATAATCTTCTCACTAATTATTATTACTCCGATATAATATAACTATATAATAAGAAAGAAACATAGAATTTTCATTATATAGGATTTTATAAAATTTTAAATAAATGACTAGTCAGTACTCTTTAAATACTGGTTAGAAAACCAAAAGAATATGTTTTATTAAAAAATATTATTAATGTACTCTTGTATTCAATTATACAATTATTATTATTTTTTCACTAATACCCTGAATTAAGATATCAGTTAACAAGACTTTAATACAACAATATCATACTATTTTTATACAATTCCAAATTGTATTTACCCTCTTACGACGTTACTGCTTCCTCTTAATTAATAAAATTAGAACATCCAAACATATGATGAAATTTACGTATGGTTTCGAAATATAGGATGGAGCCTTGTTAATGCTTTTTTTTTGGATTGATTTTTAATTTCTAAAAATTAATATTTATAGTCCATTTTTTATTTTCCTTTGCTAAACATTAACTTTTCTTTTTTTCATTGATAGTTTTTTCAATCATGCATGACATCATATTTGTTTTCTATCTTCTATATTCACTTTTTTATTTTCAAAACTAAAATAATTTTTTTAATTTATTTCTAGTCATCATTTACGCATGCAAGTTCGAGGTGAGTGTCAAGCAGCCCTTATAGAGGTTATTATTATATAATTTCATCAAGAATTCAATAGATAAAACAAACTTAATATGACAAAATATGATAGACACGTTACTTAAAAAAAAAATTGATACTTGGAATTCTCCGATGAAACGAAAGACATGTTTTATAGTATGATTAACAAGAAGTCACAGTTAAGAATGAACATAGTGATATATTTACTATAATTCAAAAGAATTATAAGACGACGTGTCATTGTTGTAAAAGCATTTTTAATCTTTTGTCTGTATCAAGGCTAATTTTTTATTTACAGTTGAAGATTAACCCATTAAAAAAGTAAAGATTATTAAAATGAGTTATGTTTCTCTTAATAAAATAATTTTTACACACAATTAATTGTACTCTTATCATCATATTTAAGAGACATAATTATCTATTGATTATGTTATTTATTTTTAGACACATTTAAACTGATAAATTGATCCTTCACTTATACGATAAAGATCGATGCTAATACTTTGCCAAAAAAAAAAAAAAGATCGATGCTAATAACGTATCATAGATAGATACGTATAACTTATGTACTATAAAATAAGTAAAAAATATTTAAAATATTTTTTTTACTTTGAAAAATAAGCTTTAATGTTCTTTTCGTTCTCCTACCTTTAGAGTGGTTTGATTTTAGTTAATCAATTTTTAATTGTGTAATTTTAATTCTTAATTTTTTAAATTAAGCAATTTTCATCCATCTATTAAGTTTTTATGTAATTTTTAATAATTTAATGTGATTATCCTTCAATTATTAAATCAATAACTTTAATTTATTTCTTCTTAGTTATCCTAATAACAATCCTTTCTCTACATATATTATTGGTGTACCCAAAAAAAATAGTGAAATTAGAAGTTTAATAAGACTCCTTATATAGGGGTGGCACCCGCGCGGGACAGGAGCGGGAGTTACTCCCCCACTCGCCGTCCCATCCCCGATCCCTGTTATGGGAAGATTTTTTCCTTCATTTCCGTTTTTTGCTTTCCCACAGATCTCTGCAGATTTTTCCAAAAATACATAAAAAAAAATAAAAAACAGTTAAAAATTATAATTTTATATTATTATTATTATTATTTAAAAAATATTTTATTTAATTTTAAATAAGTAATTTACTATATTATCTTATATATATATATATATGATATTTAAAAAAAATTATTTAAATATTTTATATATGCTTAGGATTCGGAGAACCTGTGAGGTGAGGGATTGGTCCCCGTCCCATAGGGAGAATTTTTCCACATTCGAAAATCCATTCGGGGCAGTCTTGGCGGGGAACCCTGTTAAAGATTAATTGTCACCCTATCCTTATATCATTGAAAGAAGTAATTGTAGTAACATAAGTTAAAGTTGAAGACATAAGTACCACTGTAGCTATAATTTCAAAAGAGTTAAATGAGCATTATCAATGGATAATGTCTGAAGTCCAAATTGAACTGCATCTACTTTAGAATTTATACATTTTATTACTTTTATTGATTATTATTCTTATTACACTTACTTATATATAATGAAAAATTAATTAATTATTTTTTTATATTCTATTTTTTTTCATCACAAGAATTAAAAATCAATTATTCCTATTCACACTTTGTGTAATTATAATACTCCTTACTATTTGTCTCGTTTTTTCAAATTCTTACAAATATTTACTTATATTCATGTCTAAACTCATTCAACAAGTATTTATTCTATTCACAGTAAATAATCTTTTATACAGCTCAATAAATACAACACTTGTTACAATTTTTACCTTTTCTTTATAAAATTCAAGGTCACATTAAATTACATGCATGTATTACTGTAGCTATAAATAAATTGTAAACAATGAACTTTTTTTTTATCAAAGTCGCCATAAAAAATGTTTTCCAATATTCTTGTAATTCTTGCGACTCTTGGATATCGGGTCTTTAATATTATTCATCACAAATTCGTATATTTTTTTCTATTTTTAAATTGACTAATTCAACCCCTCCCCATTTTATGTAATTTTAATTATGAAAAAAATATATAGATCATTATTAAAACAAATATTGTATCCTCTATCAAATTTATATACGTTATATAAATTAATGATAATATTTATAATATTAAATAAATTATCAATGTTGTCTGTAATTTTCAAGCATGCATTAAAATAGTATGTTTGCATAGCCCAACATTCAACATAGAACTAATGATGTCAAGGTATTTTTCAAAGACTCATTTGATATACTAATTTATGTGTTAGGGACTAATTTGATGGTGTGAAACATTGGAGGTCAGTTTTATGATTTGAATTGTGTTAAAAATTATGTTTTTGCACATTATGTTTTCATAACAAAAAAAATGTTACATCTTGTTATTACAGACTAAAACATAGTTGTCTTCTTGACACAATAATTAACTAAACTTCCGTAATTAGCAACCTCAAATTACAAAGAAAAAATAAATCTCACCTTCAAAACAGGTCACTTGTTACCAACCCTCATTCGTTTACCCTAAGCAATCTCATTATTAGTGGTGTTATGCCAAAAAGGAAAACATGTTTTAAAGTAATTTTAATGTGTACAGACAATGAAAAAAAAAATAGAATGAGTTCAAAGAAAAAAAATTTCACTAGGAAAATTATGCAAAAAGGTGACGTGTATATAAGCGGTTCATAAAAAAAAAAAAGGGGGCCGTAAATCACAACGGAAAAAGTCATTGATGCAACAGTGAAAGACATATAAAAATTATGTGTGCATAAGATAAGGTTCAACATTCAATGTTTGAAGGCAAATTCCAATAAATAATGCAATAATCAAATTCGTAATATTTAACAATTCAAGTAAATCATCAAATTCATTCCTAATGTACTACACATTCATCAAGTTAATCACTAACATATTAATATATACATCAAATGAGTTTTTGAATAACACTTTAACAAAATTAACGAGCTACGTAACTTTTTTTTTATTAATAAAATTAAAAAATTACAATGATAGAACCTGATTTAAAAGATGACAGTATGAATTAAGTTAAGATTTGTGTGCATTGAAAATGTCAAAGTTTGTTGCACCGTTTGTTTACTTGTTTGCTTGTGAGATTTGTAAATCTTCAAATATTGAAGATTGTCAAAATAAGAAACTGAAGAATAGGCTATATGTCAGACTACGTTTGAATAATTGATATTTACTATTTTGTTTTATTGTAAGTGAAGAGCCTATAAAAGGCAGTAGTATGTACGAGGAAATACACATCAATTGAGTGAATATTTTTTAGCAAATGTTTCTTCCTTTATTGTATATGAGTGAGAATTTGTGAGTTGAGAGATAAATAATCATGTCTCTGTGCCAACAAAATTGGTATCAGAGCACTGGATAGATCCAACATTGGTTTTGTGAGTCTGTGAGAGAGTCAGTAAAAAAATATATTTTTTTTTGCTAAATATTGAGTGTGTGAGGAACAAAAGAGTTCTCATTTTATCAAAATTTTTTGAGTCTATTTGAGAGAGAAAGATGGCCACAAACTACAATATTATTTGGTCTGGTCCCAAATTAGATGGGAAACTAGATTACAATTATTGGGCATTATTGATGTCCACTCATTTAAAAGCTCACAATATTTGGAGCTTTATTGAACAAGGCATACAACAAGGAGCTGATGATGCAACTCAAAGGAAGGACCAGTTGGCGCTTTCACAAATTCACCAAAGTGTAGATTATTCAATTTTTGGCAAAATAGCAAATGCCAAAACAGCCAAAGAAGCGTGGGACATCTTGAAGCTATCATACAAAGGAGTAGAGAAAGCTCAGAAATCCAAACTACAATCCATGCGTCGAGAATATGAAAGATATGAGATGTCCAATTCAGAAACCGTGGAACAATATTTTTCACGGGTAACAAATCTTGTCAATAAGATGAGGGTGTTTGGAGAAGAC